CCAAAAAAACCATACCAGGCCAAGATGTGTTTATATGCAAAATTTGGGTACATTTCTAAGAAACAGATAACCCTGCTTCATAATACAGTTTTATATACTGTGAAATATGTCATAGTTTCTCAAGTGTTTTTATGAATGTAAATAACAAAATTTAGTACAACAGGAAAAAAAGGATGCTTGAAAATCAACACTCCACTAGCATACTTTATATGAAAAAAAAGGAGAGCAAACATGATCTCAATATATGAAGAAAAGGCATTCAATAAAATTCAGTATTCACTTACGATTTTTAAAAATCCTGTAACAAGCCTAAAATTGGAAGTAATTTGCTTAACCTAATAAACGATGTCTGTGAAAGTCTTACAACAAACATCACATTCGCTTGTAAAACTATAAAAACATTCCTATTAATGTCAGAGGGAAAAACAAGGAGCTCAGTACCACCCATGAATGTCAACAATATATTGGAAATCTTAGCCAGTGCAGTAAGACTACAAAAACATAGAAACAATAAAAATTAGAAACAGGAAACAATACAATTCTTATTTGGGGACAATACAATATTTGAAGGGAGATACAGGAGAAGAAATTTAAACTTAATGTGACTAAATTTGGCAGGTACCGGTCCATGTGTCAAATGGGTATATGACATGGTGATAACCCTCGTTAGCTGAGTTTTAAATCTGTACATGGTGATGGCATTATTTTATTTGTGCTGAAAAAAGTTGTAAAATATGTGGGCATCCTAATGGCATTTTTTTTTTTTTTTTATCAAATAATGATACTCAGTATCTAATTATAGTTGAATTTGATTTTTTATTTTTTAGGACATTTAACTTCAAATGACTTTTCTTTCATTTTCAAATGCCCAAGGGAATTTTAATATCCCATTAACAGGACATACATTTCTTTCACCCTCTCTCCTTTTCTTCTCCCCTTTTTCCTTCCTTCCTCTCTCCCTCCCTACCTTCCTTCTTTCTTTTCTTTTTTCTCCTTTGTCATGGATTGGTTTGTGTCTCCCAAAAATATCTGTCAACTTGGCTAGGCCGTGATTCCCAGTATTGTGTGATTGTCCACCATTTTATCACCTGATGTGATTTTCCTGTGTGTTATAAATCCTGCCTCTATGATGCTAATGAGGTGGGATTAGCGGCAGTTAATGTTAATAAGGCAGGACTCAATCTACAAGATTACATTTTGTCTAAAATCAATCACTTTTGAGATATAAAAGAAAGAAGGGAGCAGCGAGACATGGGGACCTCATACCACCAAGAAAGTAGTGCCAGGGGTTCCTGCACTGAGAAGCTCCTATTCAAGGGAAAGACTGATGACAAGGACATTTCTCCAGAGCTGACAGAGACAGAAAGCCTTCTCTTGGAGCTGATGCCCTGAATTTGGACTTGCAGCCTACTGGACTGTGAGAGAATAAACTTCTCTTTGTTAAAGCCATCCACTTGTGGTATTTCTG